CCAGTCCTTGGGAAGGAAGAACCATTGCTGCGAGCAAAGCCCTACTCACTCTGGGGATAAAAGGCAGGGATGGTGGAGATGAATAGATGTGGCAGACAAGCTATTCATCTTCCAACTGGCCAGACTTGTTCGCCTGCATTGAGAGAGAAACTTTTTGCCCGGGCTGCTGGCGCTCCTACTAAAGGAATCCTTGAGTTAAATTCAGAGGGTTTGGAGAGCTGGGTCATGAACAGATGGATGGATGGAGAGGTGGATGGAGAGAGACATTGTTAGATTTTTATTTCTCCTTTACTACTTTATAAATTAGTCAAGGCAGTGAACATTCCTAATGCCCTATTTCTCCCACAACAACAATCCTATGAGGTGGGTTGGGCTTGAGAGAGACTGGCTGGCTCAAGATTTGATGCCTCAAGGATGGACTAGAACTTGCCATCTCCTGGTTTCTCGGCCACTACGCCAAACTGGTGGAAATAGATCCCACAAAGTGACCATAAACAGAGTGATTGTCCAACTGCTCCCTGGGGGATCATTCTCGCCTCAAAGTCCAATACACACAGGGTAAATAAAACTGCTTTCTGTTTCCTTCCCTGAATTGAATGCCATGGGAATGCAGGGAGGATGCATTCAGTTGCTAAACAGCTATTTATAAATGGTTCCGTATAAGCCTATTTAAACATCTCAGCCAAGCCACAATTTCCGTCTTAATCGTCCTCAACCAATTGATCCTGTATGTTTAATTAAGCTGCTTCTATATCCCTCCGCTCCTGCTTAATGAATGCTTTGGAACGAATCCCCGCGTAATGACTTGAATCTCTTGACTTTCTATTTCTGATGGGCTTTGACCAGGCTTAAATAGCTGTTTATAAATTTGATTGTTGCCTAGTGCTTTCAAACTTCCTGCCGCTAACAGCTGGCATCAATCTCACCGTCCTTAAGAGATCTTAGGTCAGTCTTGCGGAGAAACTTAGTTTGTGGTAAACAAGCCAGATTGCGGGTGTCCGCTACAGGTAGTCCCCGACTTATGACTACAAACGGAGCCCGAAATTTCTGTTGGTAAGCGAGGCAGATTTTGAGTTTTACCCCGTTTTACGACCTTTGTTGCCACCGTTTTTAAGTGAATCACTGCAGTTGTTAATAAACTCTGTTGTTAAGTGAATCTGGCTTCCCCATTGAATTTGCTTGTCCGAAGGTGGCAAAAGGGGATCACATAGGACACTACAACTATCACAAAATAGGAACCAGTTGCCAAGCGCCTGAATTTTGATCACGTGACCATGGAGTTGCTGCTACAGTTGTCAGTATGAAAAACACTCGTAAGTCACTTTTTACAGCAATGTTGTAACTTCAAACAGTCACCATCTTGATTGTCTTGGAGTCCTAGTGGACGATCATTTAAATAGGAGCCAGCCGTGTGCAGCAGCTGCCAAAAAGGCCAACACAGTTCTAGGCTGCATTAACAGAGGGATAGAATCCAGATCCCTTGGAGTGTTAATACCACTTTATAATGCCTTGGTAAGGGCACACTTGAAATACGGCAATCAGTTTTGGTCGCCACGATGTAGAAAAGATGCAGAGACTCTAGAAAGAGTGCAGAG